GCTTGGCACCTGTCGAGGCTTTTTTTAAAAGTGAAAACTCACTCAAACAAGAGGATCTCATTCGGACGGCACATTGTGTGCCTACTGTTACAGGATGACACTGTCGTTCTACTGCAGTCATGAAATTCAACTTTTATTGAACTGTTCAGTTTTTTGTACATTTGGCCTATTTTTGTTATAGCACACAGCTCTGCACATAAATGTGTTCATTAGTGGGAGAATCCATTACTAATTGTCATTTTCACATCACCTTCAATCAACACTAAAATCTGATTTTCTACTATACATCTATAAAGTATCAGGTTTATTTCTAACTTTAGGAGGTAAACTAATATAAATAATTTATTGTTTAATATTTCTTATATGTCACAGATTTTTTTGTTATTAAACTACATTCCAATAAATCTTTATTGTTTATAAAATTTTGATCCCTGAGAGACATGCCTACTACAGCATATTAGCAATAATCTGGGTTGTAAAATCAACCATTATAATACAATGAGCCTTTTTCTATTCCTATCAAAGATGAGAGAAGCAGCTTCAACTACTTACAAAGTTCTCCGTTAGGATTATAATCAAGGCCACATTAAGTACATTTGAGGTGCAGAAATCCCCAGCAGCTTATTTTTTTGTGAGATTAGTACAACTAATCTGGAACCTGCCTGCTCAGAACACCACAGCATACTGTATAGTAACTACAGCTGGCAGTCAGAATTTGTCATATGACTGTTACTTACGCGGAGCAGTGATTAAAGCTGTTGCTTCTCTGCAAAAAGGTTGCAGGTTCACCTCCCAGTTTGAGGCCTTTCTAGATGGAGTTTACCATATTTTCCGCCGTACACGTTGCACCGTCATATAAGTCACATCAGTCCATATTTGACTGATAAAGTGGAAAAATCCATAAATATGTCGCTTTGCCGTATACATCGCATCTATTATGCATCACCGCTGACGCGTCATGTTTGTTTTGTGTCACCGCTGACAACCCGGAAATGTGGGCCGGTGTTGTGCCAAAAATTGATGGACTGCCAAATGGTGGCCGCGGGAGCATGCACGAGAGGACTTTAGCAAGAATTTAACAAGATTAACACTTAAAAACAATTATTTGTTTACTCAGAATTATAGTAAAGATGCGTCTCAGTCTAACTTCTGCTTAATAAATGTACTTTACTGGTCATCATTAACTTCACGCAGACTCTCCCACTGGTACATTTTCATCTTTAAATCACTTCTTGGTCTGTTGCCTTCATACATCTCCTCCTACATGTCTCTGCGTGAGTGCAGCTACGACATGCGCTCTCAGGACATTATTACCTGCAGTGTTCCCTCAGTGGGGACTAAACTAGGCAAGAGGGCCTTCTCCTACTCCGCTCCTGTTTCCTGGAATGCCTTACAAAAACATTTGAAGCTATCGAACTTGACCTCTCTAAGTGTCTTTAAGAATCTGTTGGACTCCTGGCAGGGACCAATGCAGACATGTTCCTGTTTTTAGTTTTCTACATTCGCCTTAGAATTTAGCTGTTTAAAAAAAAAATAATAATAAAAAAAAATAATAAATATATATATATATATATATATATTAGCCATCCTATTTGTTTAAAAGGAAAAAAAAAAAACTGGAGTATGACTTTTTATAACCGTTTATAACCGCTGTTGTCCATTGTTGTCATCATTCTTTGTTGAAATCAGGTCTCTCTTGTAAATGAGTCCTCGAGGCTCAATGGGATTTACCTGTCTAAATAAAGGTTGAATGAACTTTGACAGTCAAATCAGCTGCATTTCAAAAGTCGATACATGGAAGTAAATGCGTGCACGGGATGAGTTGCTTTGCAAATTTAACAAGATAACCACCTAAAAACAATTATTTGTTTGCTTGAAATTATAGTAAAGGTGAGTCTCAGTGTAACGTTTGCATATATAAAAGGACTTTAATGGTCAAATCAGCTGTATTTCAGAAGTATTTGCTGCCTCGGTGCTCCCGGGAGAGCGCGGACAGGGAGGAAAAAGAAGGAGGAACGCTGCATGTTTCTTTTTAAATTTAACAAGAAAAGCACCTAAAACAAGTATCTGTTTTTTCAAAATTATAGCAAAGGTGTGTCTCGGTTGAACTTTTACTTAAAAAATGCACTTTAATGGTCAAATTAGCAGCACTTTGCTGAGACGGTGCAGTGAAATGGGGAAGTATGGTGGCAAAACTGGTAGAGCTGCTGTCTCTCAGCGAGAAGGTTGCCGGTTCAAATCCCAGTCCTGAGGCCTTTGGGTGGAGTTTGCATATTCTCTCCGTGCATGCGTGGGTTTTCTCCAGGTACTCCGGTTTCCTCCCACAGACTAAAAACATGCATGTAAGGCTGATTGGTAACTCTAAATTGTCCATAGTGTGTGAATGGTTGTTTGTCTCGTTTGTCTCTATGTGTCCCTGTGATGGACTTCCAGCCTGTCCAGGGTGTACCCCGCCCTCGCACAGTGATTGCTGGATATGGGCACCGGCAACCCCTGTGACCCAAAATGGAAGAAGCAGGTAAAAGATAATGGATGGATGGAAGGATGCAGCGAAATGAAGCTGATGACGGTTGCTCCAAGCTGCAAGCAAAATGAAGGTGGCAGGATATGGCAAGCCAATTGTGTCATTGATAGCTGGTGAAGATTCTCAGTCATCCAGGACATGGTAAATTCAACAAAGTTCAAGACAAAAATAATAAAGTATAAAGTAATGTATAATAAATAAAGTCCAGTTGTTTTTGTATTTGTCATTATAGCCAATTATACCTATTACAAGATACAACGATATGCCTTACTACTCTGCCACCATCTAGTGCCTGAAATGATAGTCTTCAATATTTTCAGTCAGAATGAATTTAAACGGTCAAATCTCAGCCAAAAATTGGTTTATAAATATGGAAAAAAATCCAGAAATATGTTGCTTCTGCCTATAAGTCGCAGGGAATGCAAACTATGCAAAAAAAAAAATGCTACAGCAAAAAATACGGCACAAGTTCTTCCTATAAATGCATGGATTTCGTCCATGTACTTGGTTTTCTTCCCACAGAGCAAAAACCATGCACATTAGGCTGATCGGTAACTCTAAATTATCCCAAGGTGTGAGTGAGAGTGTGAATGGTTGTTTGTCTTGTTTGTCTCTATGTGACCCTGTGATGGACTGAAGACCTGTCCAGGGTGTACATCGCCTCTCGCACAGTGATAGCTGAACATGGGCACCAGTGACCCCTATGTCCCAAAAAAGAAGAAGCGGGTAAAGATAATGAATGGATGGATTTGGGTTTCCTTCCACAGACCAAAACATACATGTTAGGCTGATTGGTAACTAAATTGTCCCTAGGTGTGAGTGAGAGAGGGAATGGTTTTGTCTAATTTGTCTCTTTACGTTCCTGTGATGGAACTGCGGCCTGTCCAGGGTGTACCCCACCACTCACATGTTAACTGCTGGACATGGGTACCAGCTCCCCGTGCCCCGGAAGTGATATGTGGATAAAGAAAATGGACAAATGGATTAAGATAACTCACTTTGTACATTGTTTTATATATATGACTGAAATTTAATATTTTGAAAAATGTATTCAACCTTCAAAATCTTTTTTTACAGTGTAGTTTTGGATAAAGCTGTTGATTTCACGTGTATTTGCAGTTAGAATACACAACACAAAGTAAAATAGATTCAAGCTTTATTGGTGAACGTGATACCAGCTTTTTTTGGTATTCTTCCAATACTTATGACAAGAACAGAGAGAATCTGCATCATGTAAAAGGATTCAAAATACCACATTCTGTAAATACAAATGCCCATATAAAAACACTATGATTGAACTGTCACCTTCACTGCTGAAATTCAGTGATGACAGTCATGTATATATTATATTTGCAATGTCATAGGTTAGATTCTCCATCTTTGTTAGATACAAAATAGACAAAAATAATTTCATATATTTTCCATAAATTTTCAAAAAATCATTTCCAAGTGATCACAACATAAAATGATCAATGCCATTCTGGATTGTTTGCAAGTTCAACACTAATATCAAAATAGTCTAATTTTTCTTTACTATATAATCACTTTTTTTTTTAATCTGATCAGAATTGATATGTAAATATACTTAACAATTTTGCTAAAAGAACTATGATTTGTGTCAAAGAAATAAAACTAAAAATTAAAAATGAGAATTTAAATGAGGACTTGCTTAATCAAACAAATTCATGGTTCTCAATCTTTTTTTTTATTTTTTATGTTTCTTTGGGACACTCATTTCCTTTATCTTCTATAGCCCTGCCGCTGATACAAGCTGGATTAAAGTAAGCCGTAACATCTAATTTCAAATAAAATATAATAAATGCAATCACCTCTCAGTGATTAGAGCTTTTTCAGCTGAGGCACACATTTCAGGATGATTTTCTCAAATAAAACACAAAAAGGGAGAATTCATTTTGAGCATGGCCAGTCATAGTTTGGTCATGGGTATGTGCAGACTGTTCCAGGGTCCCATCCACAGTTCATCCTCGTCTGATAATGTGTGTTCACTGTGGGACTCCAGTGTTTCCCGGCTGCTCTTGTGGTTGTCAACATTTGTCTCTTCTTCCACATTGACACATGACCCACTGTTGCTTCTATCAATTATGGCCTTGGCAATACTGGTTTTGGACCCAAAGCTCTTTAGATCTGTAATTGCTGAGCCCAGTGAACGATGAGAGGACAAAGTGTTGAGGTTTACATCCTTGTTAGGAGGAACACATGTGCTGACTCCGTTTTCCGTGTTGCTTTCTGAATTCTCTGTGTCAACAGGAGGGGGCTCCTCACAAGTCACACCTAACTTTTCAAGATTTTTAAAATGCTTTTTTAGTCGGCACGGAGAACCCATCTTTAGGTTGTTTAAATGTGGTGGTCGCCTAGTTCGAACAATAGTGCCATTTTGTGCGAGGTAGATATTCCCATTGATGTTGCTGTGGCTGTTGGGGAGTCTGTTTCGCTGGCTTTCTGTAGTGCTCTCCTCTCCAGTAGAAGTGGTTTCATTCTCCTGATCCACCACAAGCTTGATCCTCTTCTTTCTTCCAGCCTGAAAAAAGAGAGGGTATCAAGGTCTATGTCAATATATAGATTATTTTCATATAAAGTGCACATGAAGTGTCCAAGTCTCTGTGAAGTAATAAAAAAGATTACTTTTAAAGAAGTGACTTTGCAGACAGTGTATGTGGATATGCCAGCTTGAGTTACCTCCATAGATGGTTCATTAATAGTGTTATCATTTATAAAATAAGTCTTTGTTCTCCAAAGGAAAATATTTGAATGGACATCTTACATGTGTGGCAATTCCATATTTTTAGTCAGAAAATGCCTAATGCCCACCCCAAAAACCTCCTACTTATAATTAGGGATGCAACGATCCACATTTTTTTAACTTCCCATCCGATCCCGATACCTAAATCTGGATATCGTCCGATACCTATCCCGTTCCGATATCATCATCATTACTGATTTTATATGAGGCTGTAATAATCTCCTCTATTTGCATGCATGTCCAAAAAGGCAACTTGAGGTAATTTTTATTAATGCTGGATAAGTTTCAAAGTTAGAATTAAATTCTGCTAACACAATTTTTTTTTAAATCCTAGCTTTAAAGTGGATATTAAAGCGATTAATTTAAGTGATGAATTAGATAAAATAAAAAAAATTAAATGGCTTTAAACATCTGCTAAGTTCAATGCATAAACCAACACAAACATGTTCCTGTTTTTAGTATTTTACATCGCTTTATAATGCAGCCGTTTTTGTTTCTTTTTTTATTTTATTTATAATTTTCAAATCACATTTTTTTTTTATGATTGTCTACTGTTGAACTGATAAATATCTCCTGGAGGGTAAATTATATCTTGGCTGGAAGTATTAAACTGCAAAATCCTTCATTTTCTACAACTGATAGCGGTTGGTCATTAATTACGATGAAGTTTAGCAACTTCTCAGTAAACATTCAAGCTCCATGGCTTTGGCGGTGTGTTCTTCTTGTTCAGTCCGGGGCGGGCGGTCTGATTTCGGTCAGCTGTGCTCTGTCTGCCCCTCCTTGGAGACGGGCAGACTGAGTGGGGCAGACTGGGCGCAGCTGGCCGAGGCTGAGTTGCCTGCTATGGGTTCAGCGAGAGGAGCAGACTGCTGATGCCACGGAACTTGAATGTCCAATGTAAAACTAACTTTACCGCGGATTAACGTGGGGCTATGGCTCTGCAGACATTGCACATTGCTGTCTTGCGGTGTTTAGTGTAAAATACTTCCACACAGCGGACATGTTTCGATGAAAAGTTGGTTAGCCATTAGCCACAGTGCTGCTTACTCAGTCCTCATGTTTTAGCTGGCTGCAAACTATGAAATGGATTTCCTGAATGTGAGGCGGGTCTTATTACTCTGGGTTCATGAGACATGCCTCCGTTCAGGAAATCCATTCAATAGTTTGAAGCCAACTTGCAGAGCAGCTGGCATGGAATCACATGAGGAGATGTTTCAGCAGAAACAGACATGCATCGTGGATCGGAAATAGCTGCAGGTTGGATCGGAAAAATCAGATACGTAAATTATGCTGGTATCGGAGGCCGATACGGATACCGGATCGGCCCCATCCCTACTTTTACTATAGGTAGGACAAAATTATCAGGTGCTTCATAAAATCTAATTACAAAGAAATCTAATTCATTTTTGAAAGGCTACTGAAATTCAAATACCGTACTTTCCACCATACACATCGCACCAATGTATAAGTTGCATCAGTCAAAATATGTCTAATAATGTGGAACAAATATAAATAAGTCGCTTTGCCGTATAAGTCGCATCTATTATGCATCACCTCTAACGCGCCGCGTTTGTTATGCGTCACCGCTGACCAACCGGAAACGTGGGCCCGTGTTGCGCCAAAAATTGATTGGCTGCCAAATGGCAGCTGCAGGAGTGTGCACTGGATAACTTAAACAATAATTTAACAAGATTAACACTTAAAAACAATTGTTTGTTTGCGCAGAATTATAGGAACCGTGTGTCTCAGTTTAACTTTTCCGTAATAAATGCACTTTGACGGTCAAATTAGTAGCATTTCAAAAATTGATTTGCGACTGTGGGAGCACTCAGAGGGATGAATCGCTGTGAATTTCTTCAAAATTTAACAAAATAACCACCTAAAAACAATTATTTGTTTACTTGATATTATAGTAAAGGTGTGTCTAAGTTGAACTTTTCCTTAATAAATGCACTTTAATGGTCAAATCAACTGCATTTCACCTGGGCGACTCGGTGAAATGCAGCTGATTTGACATTTGCTCCAGGAGTTCCGAAGCGAGACGAAGGTGGCCTGTATGGCAAGCCAAGTGTTTCATTAATAGCCACTTTTTCCTATTAATGAGACACTTGGCTTGCCATATTAGTCGAGCACCCTCTAGTGGTTGAAAATGGTAGTGTTCAATATTTTCCATGTCAGAATGAATGAAATCGTCAGATCTCAGCCAAAAATTGGGTTATAAGTATGGGAGGAAAAAAAACAAATTAGTCTCTTTCCCATATAAATCGCAGGGCATGCAAATTTATGCAAAAAGGTGCGACTTATACGGCAAAAAGTACGGTACTTAATATTGCTAAGTGAACTTGTTAATAAATGGTTATCTAAAAAAAAGCTAAATTTATTAGCATAACATTAGCTTTAAGTAAGTTTATAGTAAAAAAAAGTTATGATTTTAAGTAGAATATTAACATTGTGGGAAAAGTCCACATGAAAGGTCTCAATAGGAAAAAAAAAAGGCTACAATGTTATAAAAATCAAAATGCACAGCAAAGCACACAGAAAGCATCAAAGGGGGAATAAGCCAAAGAAGTGAAAAAGTCAGATTCAGATAATATGCAGTAGAAAAACCACAAGGCTTCTTTACAAAACAGGAAAGATTTGAAGCACTCTGTAGATGCAGGCAGTATTTCTTCACTCCCATGCAAAGTACATTGATTTTGTTCGCTCTTACTTCACGGTGACAATGTGTCTCTAGAAGGATGTGGAGTTCCCTTCTGACTCGGAATCACCATCTGATGTTCCGTCAGTTTCTTCTGAGCCCTTTGACTGACTGACTGATTTGTCAGAAGAGATGGCATCCTCATCCACTTCAGTAATAGGAGAAAGTCCTCCATACGTCTCCTCAGACTTCTCACTGATGCTTCTGATGTCCGTGCTGTATGGATGCCCACTGTAGGGAGCTGAGGGTCCAGGGTCTCCAGACACCACACTGGACCTCCTGGATGCTGACTGATCACTGTACTCACTAGAGGAATCTTTGCTTTCGTTACCCGTCTCAGGTTCTTCCTCATCCTCCTCTTCACTCTCCTCTGTGATTGTGCCCTCTGAGCCACGGCTCAGGATAGATTTTTGGGAACCCCGACTCCCACCAGTGGAACGGGAACCTGCTGAACTCTCTTTGCTCTCTGTTATCTGACTGCCATTTGAAGATCGTTGACTTATCTCTGAACCAGACAGTTTTCTCTTGCTGGACCCACGAGATGAAGAACGTTCACTTCCTGACACTGACTCTGCCTCAGCATCGCTGGCTGTCCCTGTCCCTGACTCAGCCTCACTCAGTTCCTCACTGGATTTCTCTGAGGTGATTTTAGACATTCTGGATTTTTGAGATGATCTAACACTTGAGCCAGATAAAGATACAGCACTGCTAACACTCCCACTGCGACTCCCACTACCTCTGCTGCCACTCCCGCTACCTCTGCTGCCACTCCCGCTACCTCTCCTGCCACTCCCACTGCCACTGCTACCAGCACCAGATGTACTACTCCTCCTGCTGGCTTCAGTAGCTGATGATCTCACTGAAGAGCGTGCAGAGAATTCACTTCCTCTGGTGCTTTCTGAAGCATCTTCCTCCTCAGATTCTTCATCAGAGTCTTTCTCAGTTGCTGAATCCTTTTCTGTGCTTGTTTCCTGTTCTGTTGCTGTGCCTGTTCCTGACTCTGCTTCCTTGTCAGATCTGGACTCTTCCTCAGAGTCGGACTCCTTTTCGGTTTCTGACTCCTTCTCAGTCTCGGATTCTTTTTCCGTAGCGGAGGACTTTTCTGAGTCAGATTCTTTCTCTGACCCAGATTCTCTATCAGTCTCTGATTCTTTCTCACTGACAGAGCCCTGTTCTGTTTCCTCTTCCTCAGATTTGGACTTGCTCTCCTCATCAGAATCCCCGAGTTCTTCATCGGGCTCTTCCTCCGAGTCCACTGTGCTTTCGTTTGTATCATCCCTTTCTAAATCGACTTTAAGATAATCTTTGTCAACACTGCTTTTCTCTGAGGATTCCTCATCAGAGTCTCTCTCCCTACCACTTGCACTCGCACGTTCCTCTGGCTCACTTTCGGTCACGCTAATAGACACTTTAGATTTCCTTTCATCCTCACTGGCTGCTTGTGAGGCCTCCTCATCTCTCTCGCTCTCTGTGGCTGAGACATGACTTGCACTACTCTGTGACTTCCTCCTGATCTGCAGCTTGTTGGTGATGTTAATTTTCTTTAAAATTTTGCTAAGTCGACTGCGAGCATCAGACTTGCTGTCTATTGGCCCCATAGCTGCTGGTCCGTCAGCAAGGCTCTCCTGACTGTCAATACGGCGAGCTGACATCAATTTGGCATAATCCTTGTCCTTTGTACCAGCGCCAAACATTTTCAGCATATTGGCTTTCTTCCATGGAGATGGACCAGCATCAGATGGTGGCTGTCCTCCTTTGCTGGCCGCCAGGAGTTTGCTGAGTTTTATGACAGACTTTAGTTTCTTGGCAGCTTTTGATGGCTCGCCTTCCTGTGCTGGCTCAGCTTGTTCAACTTCCTCCTCTGGTGGCACGTCTCTAAAAGCAACCCTCTTCGGTGAACCTCTACCTCTCATTCCTCCACGGCCTCTGCCTCGGCCCTAAGACAATCATAATTTATTTAGCAACCTTTGGTAATGATAAAGACTGCTGGATTGCCACACGGGGTTCTGTTTTAATATTGCATTGGACATTTACAGCCCATTAGTGAACAATTGTGCCATTATAATTGTAATTTTAAACATCACATTCAAAGAATGGTAATACCTCAGGGCCATGTGGACTATAGTAATATCCATCATCCTCCATGATCACCTCTCCATATTCATCATACATGGGAGATATCAGCCTCCTTCTACTGCCATACTGAGGAAAGTCATACCTGGGAAAAAGACAAACCAAAATCATGTTCAGACTTGCAGCTGTTAAATTTTTACTCATCGGTTTAAACCAAACTACATAAAAATAACAATTTTCAAGCTGCAAAACAAATTGCCACAAACAAATGGGTTATCAAACACCTTCTGTCATTGAAAGTGACTATATTTAGATATAAAGTGCTTAAAGATTCAGTGTGGAGGTGTGACACATAATCTGCCACTGAAGTAAAAATCATTAACAACCTCAGTACACCCAATAGATAAACAGGTATTTTATAGAAAAGTAATGCATTGATTCAACAAATTACTGCAATATTGATCTTGGTGTTTTTGCTAAAATATCTTTTTTTTTGTTTGTTTTCATGTAAAACATGTTAACTTTAATAAACTCTTCCATCTTTCTCTTTCTCTCTCTCTTTTGTGGAAAATTTAGTTCTTACCATTAAAAAACATACTTGCTGAATCTTATCAAAACCCATGGACAAACGTGTCTCGACAAGTGTAAAACTACAAAAAATGTTTAGCTGTGTAAATTAATTTTAATCTATTTTTCTTTTATAATATGACAAACAACCATAATACTCTTCATAGGCTCTTCATGCTACTCTTACATAAACATTGCATAATGAGATTGTTAATTTATGTTTCAGATTTCAAAAACAAAAGAGAGAAAAAGGCAAATAAAGGAAAGAGCCTAGTGAGAGTTTGTCTGTCGGTGTCACCTAGACGTTAAACGTCTGCAGTGAAGACAACATGGTCCAGTTTGCACCCCATTGGAAATAAATACAGATCAACAGTCTTACCATCACATGGATGGCACACTTATTGCCGGAAGCAACTTTTACGATAAGACATCTCAGAAAATATAATGGCAACCTTTTGCAAACAAATCCCAGTGTGATTTAGACACATTAAGTACAGTGAGGTATGCTGACATGTAATATAAGCTGGTGAGTAACTACAATAAAGCAACACCCAATTTCACTGATGAAAGTTTGTAACATGAATTTGCAGCTCTCTTCTTTGATCTAAGCTTGTAAGGTGTAAAAGCTTCTGATAAATTTGCACAGTAATTCACAAAGTGGGACAAGTCACCTGTAACAGAGTAGGAGTGTCAAATGTACAATTTCTCAGCAGCTGGAGTGGATTTGAGTTCCATGCTTTTCCTCTTTAAACCATTTGGGCAACGTAACAGGCGAGCCAAAACACCTTGAATCTATTAAACTGGGAAATGCTTTTAGAGGCTCAGGTGCCCATGTCAAAGTGGCTTAAATCATCTCATTTGGTGCGAGTGGAAGGGCTACATTCTCATTTGGTAGAAAACAAGAAAGGGAGAAAAAATGTGCAAAAATTTTCTGTTTTGAAACCATCTCTCTTTCCAAATGACCTAATAAAGGCAAGGTCAAAATAAATACTGACACAATTCTTTAAGTTGTTATATGAATCAATGTTGACCTGTTTCTTGGATTAGTGTACTGTACAATTAATGAGGGATGCAACTGGCAGTGTGCTCACCCTTGGTCGTAATTATAGTAGTCTTGTGTGTAGTAATCCTGGCCTGGGTCGATACCTGACTCCATGGAGAGTTCCTGCATTTCACAGAGGCAGACAAAGAAATTACTCAGCATTCCTTAGGTTAAAAACAGTCAAAGAAGACTAGCAGCAGCATACTGGGTGAGAATAGAAAAGGAAACGAGTACAATCCCTGTGAATTAGGAAAAGCAGGAGGGTTTCTACCTCAGGTCTCAGAAGGGATGGCCTCAGCAGTTGCTGTTGCTGCCAAAGGTTAGTACAGATGAGGGAAACGGTAATGAAAGGAAAGGATGGTTAGGAAAGACACACATATGAAAAGCTCAGCATTATGTTGCGAATACAAAACCAGAAGACATTTCTGTCCTATGTATTAGATTCATGTAGAAAACCATAAAGGATAAAAGACAACACAAGACAAGAAGAAAAAACTGATACAGTAGTGATGGAATAAAGAAAGCACGATAAAGATGCTAAGAAAGCATAAAGGGTTAGAAAATTGCACAAAAAAACAAAAGTCTTGCCTTCAAATTTATCATTAAACATTAATAGATTAATGTTTTTTGTTTTCTTTGGCTGCTCTCCTTCAGGGGTTGCAACAGCGAACTAACTCGCACGAAGACTTGGCAAATGTTTTTACACCGGATGGCCTTACTGATGCAGCCACAGACCACCAAACTACCACAGCCCTCTCCGTGGAGCAGGGGGCTGCCATCTGGGGTGCCCCGGGGAGCAGATGGTCGGGGTTAAGGGCCTTGCTCAGGGGTCCAGAGTGGGGCAAGTAAGGGTGGAGGCAGGTGTGGGAGTTTCACCTTTTCCACCCAGATTATAATGTTGTGGGTCTGGGGAGTCGAACCAGCGGTCTTCTGGTCACAGGCTCACCTTCTCTAGCATCGGCACCATTACTCCACCTCTCCCATAAACACTTTAAATCATGTTTTAAACAATATTTACATATTGTACACTGTAAAAAAAAATAACTGTCAGGTGCCTGATTATGTTTCACAAACGTGCTAAACTTATTTATCACAAGAAATAATTGTATTTTTGCATGAGCGCATGATCATCTGTAATTGAATATTACAGCAATCTTATTTATTTATTTAAATATTTATTTTTTGTCTGAAGGTAAGATTTTTGGATGTAGACTACCTCAAGTTGTCATTAGTAAAAAAAAAAAGTCTTGGTACAAAAGAATAAAACAAAAACACATTACAACAAAACCGCTTACCTGTCTGCCACCTCTTCTCCTGGGCATTGTGGAAAGAAAGAAAGAAAAAGGACAAATAATAAATACACATTAACAACACTTTAATAAAAAAAAAAGTACTATTAAGTCTACATGACTACTGTGTCTATCTTCTGCTGACCAAAGAGGAAACTACAGCTTTACTTACTGTGAATTTTCAAGTGTTAAATTAGAGTTGCAGATATTGTTCAGCGTTCAAAAGGATGCCTAAGGCTGCACAGTTATCAAGCTGGTATAGGCTGTTTTTTTACCTTGTTATCTCATCCAAAAGAACAGAAAAGAAAGAAGCAATAAATGCAAACATCAAAGTAGCAAGACAGATTGAAAAAGGGGAGAAAAAAAAAAAGAAGTCAGTGTTTACGTGACTGTAGAGAGAGAATATGCTGGAAGATATGAAAGGAACACAGTGATTAAAGGAAAAGATCTGTTGCTCAATGCAAATAAATCTGTCTTTGGTTATTACATCCTAATATGCTCAGAGAAAACTATCTTTATTCTGAAGGCTTCTTTATTTTCTATAGAGGCAATCAAGGTTTATTTTGAGCTGACTAAAATGTGAAAACCAAGTTTTATCAAAAAAGAACAAATGAAAATAAGAACACATCTGCAGCCTTTTTCATACAAGTCAACAAGAAACTGTAAAAGTAGCTTGACTGAAACCTCCATGTTCACAAGTGCACAAGTGTAACCTGTCCAGACCCATAAATAATGACGACTTTCATGCACTTAGATGTATGGCCAGGCAATGATGTGAGATTCCTCTGGAGAGCTGTAATCTGTTGTTATGCGCCGGGACCAGAGAGCAGGGACGGGACAGAGCCATATGCCACACCTCCCAGGCAGAGTTGGTGATGGGAGCAGGATCTGATTGATGACTTGTTGGCTCGCCTGCTGGCCATTGCTGCTGCATGCAACATCAAGAATAATGGCTCAGTGGACAGTAGCCCCGGAAAGTTTGCACGCATGGGGTCTTGGTGGAAGACGAGTAATAAAAAAAGATTGTGTGAAAGGAGAAATAAGAAAAGCGGCTCTAAACTCACATCAAGACACGTTTTGTGCCTGTAGCAGAAGGATAAATCTGACTTTGATAATGAGTGAATAATTGCTGGGATGCTGTGCTGAGATGTTTGCAACATCCTGCCCTAAAATATGATACAAATAAGCAAATTTAGAAATGTGGCATAAGCCAGTTTCGCTCTGAGCCTAATTGGCAGACGGTATTTGTGGCAGTCTCCAAAAATTCTCAAAACATTTACGGGATTTTCTAATTTCTCGAATGAAACAGTGACGGTTGTGGATTTTCTAAACTAACAGTGGGTTCAAGAATAAATCATGTCAATTGTCGTTTGTGGCATTTATTAATATAAAAATAAGATAAAATAAAGGAATGATCTCAGCTTGACTTTTGAGCACGTTCAATTTTTTTCTCAAAACAGTTGCAAAGTGATCGTGGGCATCTAAAACCTGTCGCAAACACTTTTCTGTTTAACTTGTGTATTTCTAGAGCACTATAGTTGTGTTTTGACATTTGCACGGTAGAGTTTCAATTTTTGGCTCGAGGCCCCAGCCCGAACTGGCCCGGCCCGAAGTCGGGTCAAAATGATATGCTTGATGGGCGGGCCGGATCGGATCGGGCTTTGATGCAGTTTTAGAAGTGATGGTGGTTTTTTTTGTTTTTTTTTTTGGGTGTGCACCTGCTGAGGAGGATCTTGCGTGAGAACGTTGCCCTGGATTATCTGTGGATTATTCTTCAACCCAAATTTGGATCGCTGTGGATTATTATTTGCTCTTACCCAGGACTGCAGGGGAGGCACGCTAAAGCCTATATGGACACTGAGATCTGGTGAGATCGTTGCTTTTTATTTCGGCGTGTTGATGCCTAGATTGAGTGGGCATTTCCCTCATCCTCCATCAAAATGACTTTACTTCAAAGAAGGTAGCTGGACTGAAAGTTTGATCAACTAGTTGTTTTTATTTATTTATGGGGTTTATGGGATTTCATGTGTTGATATGGAAATGTTGTGGGATGAAGCGTTTGGGGGGTTTGTGGAACATAACTCATGGTTTAATTAAATTGTGTTAACTGCCCTAAATGCTATCCTTCGTGACCAATCTATTATTAGTTTATTTATGAGAGCTTTTTGCCTGTACGGGCAAATTATTTTCTGTTTACTGTATTTGGTTATTCTTACACCTCAACCAACATGTTTTTTGTGCTGTCTGCTCCAGGCACTGCACAGGACATAATTATCATTTTATGTAATTAATCCCCCTTTTACCTTAGTTTTGGGGGCGGATTGTTACAGATGGACAACCGGATCATCAGCCGTGTGCGTATGCTAACCATTATTAACTATAATATTATAATAACTATAATAATAACAATAATAATAATAATAATAATAATAATGTGCATACATTGTCATCATTGAATGCATGTTCCCATACAATGGCTCTCTGCATTTAACCCATCCACCACCAGGTGGAGCAGTGGGCAGCTATGGAAAGCACCCGGGGAGCAACTGGGAATAAGGTCTCCTGCTCAGAGACACCACGAGATGTGCAATGACAGGGGGTCGAACCCGAGACCTTTGGGGCCCGGGTCAGCTGCCCAGCCTCTACATCATCCCATCCCATCCCATCCCATCCCATCCCATCCATCCATCCATCCATCCATCCATCCATCCATCCATCCATCCATCCATCCATCCATCCATCCATCCATCCATC